GCACTCGCCACAGCTTCAAGGATCGTAAAAGGATAGCAAGATTTAATGTTCTAACCAGCGAGGCTCAAAAAGTTTGGAATCGGATGGCAAAAAAACAAAACAAAAAGGCGAATACCCATAATAATTGAATTAGCCAAAGATGAAAAGAAATAAGTTCTTTGGAAACTCACGACTAAGGCGAAGATCCCTCCGGGTTTGCTCAGACGTTAGGCCATCAAGTGGACGTCGAACAAATAATATGTAGTTGAATAGCAGGTAGATGCCAAACCGCCGCCATATAGAGCCGATCGCATTCGAATGAGATCGTGATAAGATGAGGCAAGGGGAGGTACTAAGTAACCCATTCTGGTGGATCATCCTCCATATTTGGTCGCTAAGTGTTGACGGGTAAAGTGTATTGTACTTCGCCAGACGTTGGCAAAGGGCATGCCGCTTAAGGACTTACGCTCGATCTTGGGCGACGCCAGACGTAATTAGCGAAATAATAGCACGAACTTAATATTTCCACGAGAAACTACGAGTATTATACGAATACTGGCACATCCGACTCGTGACTGTAATAAAAAGAGCGAACTCGAATGCTTGCCCGCTCTACCATAATTACCAGCCGGGTTATAAGGGGAAATCTCGTGAGGAACGCCTTTCATTTTGGGGAAGGCAAAGTTGGTGTCCGGTCTGTTTCTCACCTCACTAGTGGCTCATGAGCTTCAGAAGGAAGAATATGACGTATGCGAACCTATGTGGTTCGGCCACTCGGGAACCGGAAGGGCTCGGAATCAGGACGGTCCACGCAATAATTAAATGTCTTTGAAATTCGGGCCCATCGGGCCCATAGATAGTGGTCCACCAGAGAAGAAAAGAAATGCGCAATACATTCTCAGACGTCTGATCTATCAAAGCTGCACTTACATTTTTACCTTTACCCGGGAACAATTCCAAAATGTAAGCTCACTAAGATGCCCAAGGGGACACCTTGAACCTTTCTTGCCGCATTAACCAAAACTAATAGAGGCCTCTTACTCAATATTCGCGGCGAAAATAACCGGTTTTCTCTTCATCTTTAACACTGTCCATTAAGGTATATTAGGCCTTTGTTTGCTGATTCACGGGAAAGGCTCCCATCGATTCTTTGAGGGCTAGTGTGTAAGACCTTGGCTGAAGGCAGGCGTAACTGACATTAAAAAGAACTTTAGTCCAGTGTGCTAGACCGTAGAGCGACCGGCTGACTAAGGAGCTCATCTGGGCGAAGGGAATGTTGTCAAAAATTGAAGAGGGAATGCTAGAATTCTTCAGATTTCCACGAGAATTAGGAAAGAAAAGGGGGGAAAGTTATGTGGACGCCGGATGGCCGGGGCAAGTGCATACGGTAGATGTTGACGGTATGGGGAGTGCAATCGGGAGCATGCGGAGGTCGTTTTTTTCCGTGCCGCTGAAAAACTGCCCGGCTGGGTCAGCAAAAGGCAACGACTGGGGCCCTGTCCTCGGACGCGCCTGCTACAAACAAAAGAGTTAAAGCGGGCGACGTGAAATTCTAACGGCTGGCTACGCCCGCTAAGCTCACCGTACTGGCGCGAGCGACCTTCAGCGAGGGTGGAGCGCTTACGTCGGGCGCGTAGACGCACGTGCAAGCTAACTGCGCGCGCGAGGGGAAGGTGCGTTCAACGTGGGGTGTCTGACTTCAAGGCCGGTGAAGAGTACCGTAATTTTTAGTAAGTCTTCGGCGTTCAAGAGCAAACGCATAGAATGTACAATAATACCGGCGGGAGTTCAGGCAATAAAGCGTAAGCAGACGAAGATAAAAGGCCTAAGCGGCTTGACAAAAAGGGCAAATATCCGGCAGTATTAGCGCACAAAAGGAGTGCAGCGGCACCGAAATAATATACATGAATATGTCACAAGGTAGGCAAAAGAAAGGCTTTGACGGTTAAAGAGAGATGGCATTACGCTGAACTGCGGCCATGGAGGTTGAGGCAAGGGCGCGGTCGCCCTGGAGTAGAGGACTGGAGGCCGCTCCTGTTCGGGTGCGCATTTGACCAGGGACGACTCCTGCGCTTCGCCTCCACGTCCGCCGCTTGCAATCAGGGCGCCGCCTGCAAAAAACATTGGCAGAATGAGTCATGGCTGTCGTCCACGCCTTGAACTCGCCGGCCGTGTTTTGGTGGTAAGTGTACCTCTCCCACTTGTTGGAAGTTTAGAAGAGGTTTTGTCAAATCTGGGTGAAAGATTTATGTGTCGGTAGTCACAGCGTAGGTTGTGAACAGGAGTCGTTCTGGGGGTCATACTTCCACCGCCTTCTTACCTATCGTGATGTTCCCGATCGTGATGTTCCATGACACATCATCAGCTCTTAGGTGACTTTTATCAAAATCAGGGGTCTAGAGTGTTACTGGTACTTTCGCGGCATCGCATTATTAGTTAACTAGGGATGTTGGGCTGTGCAGCCTTGTTGAGTAGGTTGGGTAAGGGTGCTAGCATCACTTCACCTGCTGCGCCTGTCGCGCCGCGAGTGGGAAGCAACGCTCAGTACAATCCTTCTGATAAACTAATGGTCATTTGTGGGTTGTATCGTCATGAATAACAAATCTAGATTAGCAAAAATCCGATATTAGAAGCCATTGCTGGTTTAGTGCTGTGTACTGCTTTCTCAAGCTCCAGAGCGGTTAGTTATCTTCGTCCCGCTCGAGGAAATCCCTCCTCTTAAACTTAGATCATGATCCTTGTGATCCCGTTCAACCTGTGTGCTAGTGGTTTTGATCTCATAGGTGATCACGTCCATCTTGGTGACTAGATAAAGCGTGTGTTGAGAACAATAATTCGGAGGCTTCATTCACCATTAGCGGGTGGAGCACTTCTCAGCGGGTAAGACAGATTTATTCGCAAGCGTGGAGGTTGTGCTTGTTCGCGGTTTGAGGCTGTCAAACAAAGACGTCAGGGCACGTCAGGGCACAAACACACCGCCCATCTCCTTCAACTTCTTGCGTGATTTGCGAATTGTTGAACTCTGCCGTCCGCTCTCGTCTGTTTGCCGCCACGTTTACCATTCAGGCACGCACCTTCAGTGTTTCTTTGCCGTTATCCTAGTGCGGCAAAGTCTTTTTGGCCTTTCTCTCGCGATAGGTTGAGCAGTTTGCATTGGTATTTTTCACGAGCGAGCGAGCCCTTAAAGGCAGCGTCCGCGATCAACCAAAGTGAAAAAACCCTCCAATGAAAACGAACGCGGAGTACGCAACCATAGCGGATATCCCACTCTTGCGGCTCGAAATGTATTGATTGACGAGGGCGGAGTCAACAAGGCTGAGCTGACGCCTCCTTCCTGTTAATCCCGCCCCGACTGGTTAACAGTTATCAGTGCTTGCTGGCATTGATAAACGCTAAGTTTCTGGAGTTCCGAGGCGACGTGTATTGGAGAACTCACCAAAGGTCTGCGAAACTCGTCCACATGCCTTAAATTTCGTAGGGTCTTATTTCACGCTCTTCCACACCTTTTTCCTACTTTTTTTGATTAGTGCTCAATTGGCAGTTCTAACCAATGTGGACCCCTGCCAAAGATCCATCGCGGCCGTGTTCTTTAAGAACCTATATGTACATGTTTGGACGGGATTCGGAGTTGTGGTGTTGTAGAAAGTGGTTCACGCGCGACAGGAGCCTCTAGTCGGTTCCGTGGCAGGCCAACTACCCGTTCTTTTCCGAGGACGGTGAATTGATGTCGGATTCGTTTGAAAGAATAACAGCGCTGACTTGTAGATCGGCTGGTCAGCATAACTCGTTGTGTGACCTAAATCACGTTCGAGAGAGCCGCTTTGATTATGAATTGAAGTAGAACTCGTGATCCAGCGCGGTACTGTTCAACGCCGTTAGCTTACTTTTATAGCAGATTATTGATGAGAAATAGCCTTTATATCACAATTCAGAAATAATACTCCATATTTCCTCTTTTGCTCACCTGAGGCCGCGTTCATAGCTTGCGACAATGAAGAAATGCGGAAACTGCAGAAGTGCGGAATCTGCAGAAATGACGAAAAGCAACCGATACGTATCGATTTTCCGCACTTTCTGCATTTCTGCAGATTCCGCACTTCTTCACTTTCGGCATTTCTGCATTTCTTCAATCGATACGTATCTATTGCTTTTCTGCACATTCCGCACTTTCTGCTGTATTTTCTGCATTTCAGCATTTCTTCATGGTCGCAAGCTATGAACGCGGCCTAAGTGAGCGGGTTGATCGAATTTTATGTCCGACTTCCTTATCGTTTTGGATAGTAGAAATTCAAGCAAGTGTTTCAGCGAGATCCTGATGTAGACAAGCAAGCACGGCAGTGGGCTGAGAAAATTGAGAAGGATCATGGCCTAACGAATCAGCACTACTCAAAGGTTTTTGTGGTCCGTAACACAACCTTTTACTCCTCTCAGTTGGTTTCTCTCAGATTCTTACAAAACGACAAATGGAGCGTGAATATCATACATTTGCTCAAAAACGCGCTCTCGCATCGACTTATGATGTGTTTTTGGTCGACGTTCGTGTTGGTAAGGCAGTTCGTTCGTTCCTTGGTACTGAGTTCTACAAAGTTCATAAGTGAGTTTTAAAAAGTTTCAGTTCAAAGTAAACAGGCGTGTTCTGTTCATCTACCCTTTTTAAGAGAGCCACTGGATTTCAAATACACAAAGCCATTAGTGACATCAATTGAAAGTGCAGTGAAGACCGTCGTTCTAAAGCTGCAGCGATATGCTACCAGAGTGTAAGTATTGACTTCTCTAAAATTTTTTAAATACGTCAGATTTTGAGTTGTTCCTTTCAGAAATGTATGTTTCGGTCACCTTGGGCAACAGTTGTCAGATCTTTCTTCAAATTTCGACGCGGTTAGTACATTTTACCAGTGATCGCTTACAATTGTTGTTTTGAGCTATGTTCCCAAGTAATGTGGAGGCTAAACTAGTTGAGGGGGGATGAAGGCGCGACAGGGGCGCCGCAAGACTAGGTCGCACCCTGTTGGTCGTTTGGTGTCCTGTAAAAGTGAGCTTGCGGAGGAAATCATTTTATCGGTGAGTGGATGGACAGTAGAGAAACACAATCGCGTAGCACCGGTCTGCGGATAGCGTTTACTCGGTTTCATGATAAGCCATCTAAACCGCAGCGTTCCCTTGAAAAGTTCACCTCGAAGCGAGCGTGGTGAGTGACGCTATTTGTCGCTATACCATCTCTTTCCTTCATTACCGGTATTGGTGTGTATTACATGGGGCGGAGATGGTGTAGTGGCAAGTGGCACGCTTACCACGCGAGGTCAAAGACTTATCGGCTCTCACCCAGGCCAACCAGGTCCTCGCTATCGAGAGGATGGTAAATTAGGACCACATCGTCTGGGAGCATAGAAACACTGACCTGTACATCAGCTCGCCCCGCAAGTCAGTGTATGTGTAGGCCTCATCGCATTCAGCAACTCGCTGGATTCTGAGTGGAAGTAGAGTGTGTGCCGATCCCTGAAAGGGTTTGATCAACGGCGAAGACCGTTGTCCTTTATCATTTATGTTATTACATAACTAGATACTGTTCCTATCGTTACTTTTACAAAGATGGATAAATGAATTAACACTATTGAAAATGCTATTTCTTGGATTGCTCTAAGTTTTTTTTTTCACTGGTTTGTGTTGAATATGCGGTATTATCATTTCAAGGTCGTAGATGCTGTAATTGATGCATGTCCTGGAGGTTTCTCAAATATACGTAGTATATATGTGCAACCAGTTGGGTCTTCACCTTCTTTACCCGTCTACGTTGACAATGGTATAATATTGCTTTTTCGTTTTCCATTTGTATAGAATGACGGCTTGCGTTTTTTCGCTTCACAATCGTTGCCATCGATTGTGCTGTGTACGTGCTTATATAGGTGCGACATCAGAAGTTCATTTGGAAAAGCCAGAGAAACGCAGACGGTGTTTGGAGGAAGTTATTGACGAATGTTCTACACTTCCTGAAGGCCTGAAGGTGTGTACCGCATAGTTTCAGAGTTTCAGAATCCTCAATTTCATAGGAATTTTTGCGCAACTCCTTCTACGGAATTCACAAGAGCATTCGGGTGGAATTTCCTTTACTTTTTCGGCGTTTGAATCGCGCTCAGTTTTGCTGCAAGTTGTTTTGCTGCTATCAAGTTGTTACAGTCAGCTTATTTGAGCCCTTCATAAGCAAGATAATGTTAGTGTACTTTTTCAGCTTGCTGTACGAAAGAATGGTAAACTCCGCGTCATGAAGGAGGATTCCGGTTACACTGTTCTCTACCCTACAGGTTATCGCAATTTTTAAACAGCTATGGCTCTCAAAGAATATTGTTTTTTACTGAACCTTCTGTGAGAGTTATCTGGTGCCTTGATTACGCACCGGAACATTATTTTTGGCGGCAGTGTCATTCGCCGCCATTGGGCAGCAAGTTGGAGCAACACTCTGCTCCCAGGATCATTATTTGAACTCATGTACAAACGTTATTCGGGTGCTTACCTACTTGGGAGTAGTCGCGCGGAAGCTCGACTATGTATCCAAGGCTAGTGGGTCTGGATTCTGTATGCAAAGCGACCTGGAGGGGAACGGTTAAGTACCGGCACGTGGTCCCGCTGAACTAAGCTATCACCGTTATTTGGCATCCTGGTCGCAAAAACGGCGAGCTATTTTTTTGCTTCGGCTCCGATGGAGATCAAATTAACACCGAAATAAATCTTCTTTGTGACAGTCACCATTAACGAAGGTTCAGCAGTTTTTTTTCCGAGATTTTGGAGTAGTAACTAATTGGTTCTTATAATTAGTAAAAGTTGCCGATTTTGGCAAAAAAGCTCCTCGCTTGTGAAGCGCACTTCCTCAGCCTATATTTCAGTCCATGATGAGTGGGAAGAGCGCGATGGATTGAAACCGACCGTTGATCCCGCTAAGCTGAAAAGGAAACACGCCCTCAAAAAGAAGCGAATGGTAGGTCTTTATACTTGTTATCTCCAGTTGCAATTATATTACTGATTATACTAATTTACTGACGGTAGCGTTGTTTTGAATTTACCGCTGGGGAGACTACGCCACTTACGACTGCGACTGTGTCTGCTCTGCAAAACTCCGCGGCGACGCAGATGGTGATACCGCATGTCCCCACTCCGCTAACTATGTGTGGCCTTATACTAACATGTTCAAAGATGGCGAATCATGCTTCAGAAATACTAATAAGAAAGTGGTAAATAGCCCAGAAGTATGAGAGAAGCAGGAATATCCCCCTACATGCGTTCCATAGAATCCGACGGTGAACAGCTTCTGCACGTTCATAAGGCGAAGAATGGGCGTGGGTGGACGAGTTCTCATTTGTTCATGTCAGTTCTTGCCCTTTGTCACCTCACATTTATCATACCAGATGGGCAGAGTCACTAGTGGAACAACCGCACCACCAGAAAGCTTTCAGAAATGAAAATTGGGCCTAGCTCTGGCCAGTGGGCGGGGCTGTGACTAGGCCTTGGCCACGCCCATTGACCACAGCATAGTCCAGTTTTCATTTCTTGCGCTTCTGTTCAGCATGCGCTTTGTCCACTTATTTTTTTATGCTGCGAAAGTAGTACATCCATGCTTGTGGGCAGTACTGCCATGTACACTGAAGACGTCAGCAAATCATAATAGGGTGCTCCTCCTTCGAAATGATTTTTCACTCATTGACTGACACTGATTGATTGACTGATGACTTCCATTTATAATTTCATTGTAGACGCTCGTTTACTTGGTATAACGTGGTTATAATTTTCGTTTTTCACTTCCAGCAAAAACGCTTGACACAGAAGAAAATCAAGTCAGGTGAGGTGGTCACCGTCCGTCATGAAGCAAAGTGATCTGCAAATATTTTGTTGATTGTTTACAAACTCTTCAAAATGTCATGAGAATGTTGATTTTGATGTTATTTCCATGAGAAACTGTTGTTATTCTTGGCATGTTGAATGTTTTCGTTTTCATGTTGATAAATGTAGCTGAGAGCATTGTATTGTATCGAAATAGGGAGAACTTCCATGAAATTCTGTCCGAATATTTCTTTTCATATCTTTCTTTCTTCAAAATTATTAATCTTATTTTAAGCCATTTGTCTACTCAGTAACGATGTCTATGCCATGGTATTATTTGGAGAAGCCAACCCGTATGATTTTGTTGAGGTCAGCTACACACCTTTTTGCCCTGTTCCGTTGTGAGAGTATGTGACAAGACAATCGTAATAAGCGGTGGTGGGGTGGGTGTGGCGAGGGACAGACGAGTTTTCCTGCATACCTATTTGATAACTGCGGAGGGGGGGGCGGCGCAATCCTAACACGTCCGTCCGTGTGCTCAGGTGACCAGAGTATGCGTGGCGCCGGAACTGCGCCACGCATACTCTGGTCACCTGAGCTTCTATAATTCTAAACTGCTAAGTAGGAATCGCGTTTCAGTGGGAGGGCACAGAACAGCAGCCTCACTGGCTTTGCGCATGGCCTCCAAACCAGGTAGCGGTAGCGCCTCACAGCTCGAGTGAGTAACTACCTTTTCTGACTTGCTGTGTTATACGGTCTACGGAACCTCTTGAACGTGGTATGTCTCGTCTGCATCAAGATCGTATTGGTCACTGAGGAGGGGAGGTCATATGTCGCTATGAGAACTTTTTTCTATTGCTGACTTTGCACGTTGAATGCGCGCTGTATTAAGCTAAGCGCGCCGGAACTACTCGATGGCCGAGTTTGGGAAAAATTGCGAATGATGTGGTAGGGTGTGAAAGTGGATCGCATCAGAGGAGGGAATTTCCGAAAGGGATCGTGTTTCGATTAGGAAAATTTCATGATGTGATTGATGGTGCTGGTTGTTCTGCATAATTCGATGCTTTAGCAGACGTTGTCCTTTATGTATCTCCCTCTCTTGTTGCGCTGCAGGACCAGAGGTTCAGGCAATCGCCCAGACGTACCTTCCTCCGTTGAGCTCACAGGGTAAGCCGCCGGAGTAGCCCCGGTAGCATAATGGATAGCGCTTCCGCCCGAAAAGTTGAGGGGGGATGGGTTGGAGTCCCGCGTGTGGTCTGACTTTTGCCCAGCATCCTTGAGGTACTTCTCCATTTTTCTCTTAGGTTACCTGCTATGATGTTTTTCAGGTGTTACTACGCTGTATGTGCTTTCACCTATCCAGTGTTTGTGGGGTTGAACTGGAAGAGTTACGCTCCAACTCGAGCTGAGGTGCAGCTGGATTTGAAGTATCAGTGTTCTTAGTTGTTAGCTGATTCATTTCAGGTACTGGCTGGAAGGTCGTTGAAGGACGAGATCCTTCGTCCAACGAAAAAATGAAAATGAACCGGTTCAACGCTTATCCTAGACATATGTATAGGTTTTGCAAATTTCATGTATCTAAAAAGAGTTCTATTAAAGTGATAGAAGTGCAGTTGTAGAGGTTTTGGAAGGAGCTTGATGCTGCTTTTGTGTATTTAATTTGCTTTGGCGTGATCAGATAATCGTAGAACCGCAAGGGAAAGGGGTATACTATAGCTCTCCTACCTGTGATTCTGGACGGTGTCTCTGACCAGTGCTCTCTTGGCTGGATAGCATTCGATGGTCACCGTGATTCCATTCCAACTTTTCTCACATGCTCAGTGGCTCACCCGTAGCCCCTTTGAAAAGTCCCTTCCCGGATTCACTATGAGTTCTCCCGCGTTTCTCGATGGACTGGCAGGAACTTCCACGTCCTTTCATTGCTGTACTATGGCAAAAACTTTGTGCAGTCATGAAACCATGCAACAATATAATAATGTCGAGTTGTTCCTTGTATCATACCTACTGGAAAATCTGTTTGAAATTCTTTATATACAGTTTAAATGATACGTTTTCATGATACATTAGTACATTCAGTCAGCTTTTGTCTGGTGACAGGACTTTTCTGTTTGTTCTTCAAGCAAATTTCATATCCTGAATAGGCACAACGCGAAAAGGGTACTGATCAGGAAGGGGTACTGTTGATTTGTTCCGGTGTTGCACATATTTGACGAGCAACAGCAAATATTGTAGGTCTCCAAATTAATCACTTGCTCGTAGCACCCATCTTTCTGAAAATGATTTTCATGATATTCTCAAAAATTCAAGCAAAAATAGTTGAGAGGCACAGGGAGACCAGGGTATGGAAAGGAAGAACCACGCGCGCGCTGTCTATATCCGCCAAAACATGGGAGGTGCGAAGGAACAGGCTAACCAGAGTGAGCTTTTTCATCGGAAGGGGACTGCGGGTCAAGTGAAGTGCTGCTGCAAGCCCCTCCCAACACCCCGCCCCACCTTTCCAGCGCGGTCACGGTTTTCCAAAATGTTTTATGAAATCTGCTTCTTCGACTTTTTCTCACTTTTGCTAGTTGCACACACACTTCAACTGAAAAGGATTGGTACCGATACAGATCTGACTCCGCCCACTTCACAATCAAGTGATGTGAAGATTCTGAATTTTTATAACTTCTTTCGACGTCGGTTTTTTCACATTCAATCTTCACAAAACGAATATAGTCCATGCTTTTACACACTAGCACACTAGGCCCGCCCCTCTGACCAACGCCCACTTTGTTTTTCCGCGGACTTGATTTTTTTTTTTATCGAATTTTCACTTTTTGGAGACTCCTGACAAGCGCGCCCCACCCACTAAATGGAAGCTCCGCCCACTTTCGCTAGAAAGCCTCGCCACTTTTCGGAAAAATGACTGGCAGCTCGGCGAGCCTAGTGCACCGTACCTAGGCAGGTTGTGGCCCTCTTGTGCGTCTCTCCAGAATAGAATGAAAAAAGGAAAGACCACAAAAAAAAGGGAAACTTTGTTCCGGGTGACGGGAGAGGCCATAACCTGCTAGTACGGTCACTAGCTCGCCGAGCTGCATCATTTTCGAAAAGTGGGCGGGCTTCTACAAAGTGGGCGGAGCTTCCATTAGTGGGCGGGGCCGCTTGTCACAGCCTAAAAAAGTGAAAATTCGGAAGAAAAATCAAAATTCCGCGAAAAACGAAAGTGGGCGTGGTCAGAGGGGCGGGGCCTAGCGTGCTAGTGTGTAAAAGCATGACTGTATGCTTTGTAGGAGATTTGAATGTTGGAAAAAACCGCGTTCGAAAAAGTTATAAAAATCAAGATCTCACATCACTTGATTGTGAAGTGGACGGAGTCAGATCTATATCGGTACCAATCCTTTTCAGTTGAAGTGTGTGTGCAACTGGCAAACGCTTAGAAAAATAGCGAAGAAGCAGATTTTCACTTAAAACATTTTTGGAAAACCGGACCGCCGCATGGCAAGTGTGCGGCGGCGAGTGGTTGGGGAGCGGGAGGGGGGGCTTGCAGCAGTACCTAGTGTGGTCTAGTTATCAACTGCCCTTGGTAGGAGGTGTGTCCGATTTGATTTGAAAAGTGTCCGATTTGATTTGAAAAGTGTCCGATTTGGTTTGAAAAGTGTCCGATTCGGTTTGAAAAGTGTCCGATTTGATTTGAAAAGTGTCCGATTTGGTTTGAAAAGTGTCCGATTTGGTTTGAAAAGTGTCCGATTCGGTTTGAAAAGTGTCCGCATTTGCATTTGTACAAGTGTTCGATTGGGTCTGAGCAAAGTGTCCGAATTCGGTTGAAAGTGACCGATTATTTGAAAAGTGTCCGATTTTCGGTTTGAAAAGTGTCCGTCAACAGCTTTTGCTGCTTTCTCCTATTGAAAGAGCTTAGACCAACACGTTCATTACCTCCTCCTTATTGTCGTGGAATGTGCCTTTGGGACCGGTTACAAGGAGTGTCTCGTTGAATGATTCCCTTCTAAGGAGCCTACACGCAAGCATAATCATATACCTCACACGAGACTCCATCGAACTGGCCAGCTATTTGTATCGAATCGCATCCACGCATTGCTATTTGTGATTCCGATTTCGCAGAAACTGAAATAACTCGGAGAAGGTAATAGTTATTACAGATTGTCAGAATAACACTTAGAGACATATCCTATGACAAGCGGTGGGCGGAGACGCGACCACTGCCTCTTTCTCATTGATCGTCCTCCATGCTACAGTATCAGAAATAAGGGCTCACCAATGAGGAAAGGACAATAGTCGGGATCTTCGGCTATCCCGTTGTCACGTGTGTATTTGCTTCCAAGAAAGCAAAAGGAGGGTCATAAAGCTAAGTAGGGAGAGTCAAGTATTCGACTATAATTCAAAAGCGTGAGAGTATTTGGGACCGTATCTGGTTTGAAGGCAGACATCGATGGAAGCTCATGAAAAGGGTTTATTAGCCTAGCGGAAAACTTCTTCTCTCATACCCGGATTTTTCTAGTTTTTTTTTCTTTCTGAACAATACTCTAGTGATTAGACTTTGTAACTAAATCACTTACTATAGTGAGCGGTTATTTTCTGGCAAAATTTGACCTGGCGACCGCAATCGACAATACGAGACGGTTGGTTATATTCCACTCCCTCGAGCACACCTGGAAACTATTTGCTGAAAAGCAGGTTTAT